CGGAACCTTGGCGGAACCAATCTAGGGCTCCGGCAGAGCTGTTCTGTCGGGGAAACTTCCCTCCAAGAGGGGGAAATCATCACCATCGTCATCACCAACGATCCTCTCATCGGGAGGGGGTCAATCTCCATCAACATCTTCACCAGCACCATCTCATCTCAAACCCTAGTTCATCTCTTGTATCCAATCTTTGTATCCAAATCTCAGATTGGTACCTGTGGGTTGACAGTAGTGTTGATTACTCCTTGTAGTTGAAGCTAGTTGGTTTACTTGGTGGAAGATCATATGTTCAGATCCATTATGCATATTAATACCCCTCTGATTATGAACATGAATATGCTTTGTGAGTAGTTATGTTTGTTCCTGAGGACATGTGAGAAGTCTTGCTATAAGTAGTCATGTGAATTTGGTATTCATTCGATATTTTGATGAGATGTATGTTGTCCCTCTAGTGGTGTCATGTGAATGTCGACTACACGACACTTCACCATTGTTTGGGCCTAAAGGGAGGCATTGAGAAGTAATAAGTAGATGATGGGTTGCTAGAGTGACAGAAGCTTAAACCCTAGTTTATGCGTTGCTTCGTAAGGGGCTGATTTGGATCCATATGTTTCATGCTATGGTTAGGTTTACCTTAATTCTTCTATTGTAGTTGTGGATGCTTGCAATGGGGGTTAATCATAAGTGGGATGCTTGTCCAAGTAAGGACAGCATCCAAGCACCAGTCCACCCACATATCAGATTATCAAAATACCGAACGTGAATCATATGAACGTGATGAAAACTAGCTTGACAATAATTTCCATGTGTCCTCGGGAGCGCTTTCCTTCATATAAGAGTTTGTCCAGGCTTGTCCTTTGCTACAAAAAGGATTGGGCCATCTTGCTGCACCTTATTTACTTTTATTACTTGCTAGTCGTTACAAATTACCTTATCACAAAACTATCTGTTACCGATAATTTCAGTGCTTGCAGATAATACCTTACTGAAAACTGCTTATCATTTCCTTCTGCTCCTCGGTGGGTTCGACACTCTTACTTATCGAAAAGCCACGATAGATCTCCTACACTTGTGGGTTATCAGCTGCACATACATGCGCAAAAGCAAATACTTGCGTCCAACGCAAACACTGGGGTGGTCAATCCCCTCGGCGGTTAGTTGCAAGGATCAAATCACGTAGTGATGGATAGATAGATTAAAACACAAAAATAACAGTAAATAAATTACAGCAAGGTATTTTTGAATTTTACATATGATAAAAGTAGACCCAGAGGCCATAGTTTTCACTAGAGACTTCTCTCTCGAACAATAAGCATACGGTGGGTAAACAAATTACTGTTGGGCAATTGATAGAAAAGCGCATAGTTATGATGATATTCAAGACAATGATCATGTATATATGCATCATGTCCGAGACAAGTAGACCGACTCCTTCCTGCATCTACTACTATTAATCCACCCATCGACCGCTATCAAGCATGCATCTAGGGTATTAAGTTAAAAATAAAGTAATGTCTTAAGCAAGATGACATGATGTAGACAAAGTAAACCCAATTTGTATGAATAAACCCCATCTTTCTATCCTTAATGGCTATGATACAAATACGTGGCATGTCCCTTTCTGTCACTGGTATTGAACACCACAAGATCGAACCCATCAGAAAGCACCCCTCCCACTGCAACATAAATCAATCTAGTCAGCCGAACTAAACGAATAAACCGGAGAGAAATACAAATTTATAACAATCATGCATAAAACAATTCAGAAAAGACTCAAATATTTCTCATGAATAATCTGATCATAAACCCATAATTCATTGGATCCCAACAAACACACCTAAAAAAATTACATTGAATAGATCTCCAAAAACATTAAGGAGAACATTGTATTAAAGATCAAAGAGAGAGAGAATAAGCCATCTAGTTACTAGCTATGGACCCGCAGGTCTGTGGTAAACTACTCACGCATCATCGGAAGAGTAGCAAGGTTGATGTAGATGCCCTCAGTGATCGATTCCCCCTGCGACAGAGTATCAGAGAAGGCCTCCAGATGGGATCTCGAAGGAACAGAGGCTTGCGGCGACGAAAAAAAGTATTTCGGGTGGCTCCCTAATGTATTGGGAATATTTGGAAATTTATAGCCTTGGAATTAGGTCAAGAGGTGCCACGAGGGCCCCACAAGCCCGGGCTTGTCGCTCCCTCGTGACTCTTTTGGTCTTCTTCCGAAGCTTATAGGGTTCCTTTTAGTCCAGAAAAATCATCAAAAAAATTCGTAGCGTTTGGACTCCGTTTGGTACTGATTTTCTGAAAAGCCAAAAACAAGTAAAAAAAACAACAACTAACACTGGACACTAAGTTAATAGGTTAGTCCCAAAAAGTAATATATAATTGCATATAAAACATCCAAGATTGATATTATAATAGCATGGAGCAATCAAAGTTTATAGATACATTGAAAACGTATCAATCGTATACTATCTCTTTCCTATACAAAAGTAATGCTAAAGTTATTATTTTATAAAGTGCGTCGTTATTGACTTCTAACATCATATCAAGATAATACAAGCATCCTAGGTTCACCTCGCATCTGCATAACTACGATGCCCAAAACGAGAAATAAAAAATAACAAAAGATGAAAATAAGTGTGAAACACGAACCAATAAATGCCTCGAGTGGTAGACGGTTGTTCCAAAGATTACATTTCACTTTTTGTAGAGAGAGTTAAAGCATGGGGCATATTTGCAATGCATGTACTCCCTCATTTCCGATTTATAGGGCTTAAATATGTAATCTCATTAACCAAGATAGACGATGAGTGGAGGAGTGTATCTCATAGTTTACAAAGTTACTCAAACTTTAATCTGCATTAGGTATAGTGTATGCATGGATGACCACTAAATGAGTAGGACTGATTACATGCATTGGTTGGTTTCTTTTAATCCTTGCATGCATCAATTTAGTGCACCTTGAAATGTAAACATGTAGTGAAAAGAAGTGAAATTGAGAA